CCTACGCAGTTCAGCAGCTGTTTGATCCCAAAGAAAGAGCAGAGGCTTATATTAATTATAAACTATTTTGGCTTGTTAATTCAGGATTACTATTAACTGGCTCTTACCATTTAAATTAACCCATAATTGTTCTATGTTTAGTCACTTGGCTTGGTACAGTGCAGCGTTCTAATCGTGCTTCCTCATCATCTGGCTGGTGACTGACTCTTTTCCTTTCCTCTTCCCAGAATTCTCTTAGTCTGGCTGCCCCATCTATACTTCCTGCTTTGTTATTGGCCAATCAGCATTCTATTAAACGAATATGAGTGACAAATTTTTACAGTGTACATAAAGGAAGTTAGCTACACTTTCTGTGAGTCAGAGCTATACCATGTTACTAGTTGGTAAAATATGTAAGACTAAATTTCTACAAAAATTCTGACATTTATTAATTGTTAACTCTTTGGGGAAAAACCCACTTTAAAAATCACTATGTCTACTACCAAATAGCAAGCACCCAGTGAGTGATTTAAGATGAGCCTGGCACACTATCGCCTCTTAGCAGACTCAATGTGAGCCAAGACCTCATGCAAGCTAAGCTCCTGCTCTGCCATTGAGTTACACTCCTGGTTCAGGACGCTTTTCTATTGGTCTTAACTTACTCATTTATTCAAGAAATTAGTTGAGATTTACTTGACTCAGTGTGAGAAAGTAAGGATAGAGTCATGATTTAAAAAGCTGTAATATTGTGTGGTGACTACAAGCTCCTCCTCCATAGCAAATAGTACCCTTTATAGGATCTTCTCTGAATTCAGGAATCCTTGCTTGTAACCTTCTCTGTCACCCCAAGGTCCTCAGAATGTGACTGAGGTGCTCTGTCTTCTGTTCAAACACACATTTCACATTCAGAAATGTTTTACGTGACTAGGTGTCTGGAGGTTGAGGCAAAACACAGTGAGCTTTTTTTTTTTTCAGCTGTGAGAGAAACATTGTTTAAGATGACTTGATGCTATTCTGACACTTCTAATCACTCTTAGGTTCCCTTTTCATGCAAAGGCATTCGGTTGGCTTAAAACTTTGTTTTTTGCAGCTCTACATATTTCACTTCTTTCTTTGAGGCCCATTGTGCCAGGAGTTATGGGAGGGGAGCCAGTACCTCTATGTTAAGCATTCTGTCTTATCCAAGAGGTGTTTCATAAATTATGTATAACAGTAGATGCCACTCAATAAATATTTTATATGTGATAGATATTTTTGTCTGAAATTACTTTTTCACTTGAGCAATGATTTAAACCCTCGTTTTCAGTTTTATGAGGTGACACTTTTATATTATCATGTAGTCGAATGCAGCTTGAATGTCATGGAGCTTTAGGGCAGCATTAATCTAAACTTCATCTGCCCACTCTCCAGCCTAGGAAACTTTTCTGGGTGCAGGTTTTGCCCCATGCCACATATGTACAAGTGCGTGCATGTGTGCGTGTATGTGTGTGCACATGCGCATGCATGCGTGTATGTTGGGGTGAGTGGGGACAAGTAGTGATTTTGACCTAATAGCTCCAAAGATGTGAATTTCCAATGCTTTCCAGAGTCTTTAAAACTTACTTCAAGGAAGAAAAAAAAAAGCACTTTTCATTTTTTGTTTTTTGGTAAAGAATATTAGAGTGAACTTGGATGTAATCCAAAATGATTTTTCTGGTTTAAGTCAGAAGTGTTATGATTAAAAATATTCCCTCCCTCCCTCCTTTCTTCCTTCCTTACTTCCTTTTTTCCTTTTTCTGGTGGTGGGGGTTCTCGCCCATAATTTTTGTAGAAAGAAAACACAAAACACAATGGCTCTGGACTTAGGAGAAGAGTCACTTTTCTTTTCATGTCTATGGTGCAAACAGGTCATGACCATGGAGCCTTTAACCTTTATAAAGTATCATCACCTGGTTCAGAGACTAGACCTTCCAGTGGGACACTGTTTTATAGGTGGAACTGTGTTATTAAATTCTGCATACACACAGACAGACAGACACACACATGATATCGCATGCATCTCATTTCTATTGGAATTCCATCATCAGGAGGAGAGGCATGGATCCCAACGAGAAGTAGAAGTAGGGCCCATTCTATTTAGAGCCCTCATTTCAGCCATGGTTCACAAGGGCCATGACATCATAAATCAAGGTTACTGAATCTCTTGATCTCAAAGCCTGAGGTTCCCAGCCATGGAATGAGAGCGTGGTTGATAGGAGAAATAATTGAAGAACAATGATATGCTTCATTTCCCTTTCTAGAATCTAACTTATGCACTGGTCATTTCTCTGCATATCTATTTAATGGTTGTTAAATTAAATTGCTTTCTTCCAAGTGGTGGTTTTTATGTGCCTTTTAAAAAAATATACCTGGGTCCCTTCATTCTATCACCCTCTTGTGTGGTTTCAGGTTTCCATGTGTGCATTTGAAACTTAAAATTTCCAGAGAAGCAAGTTCCAAAGGGTTTCCCACTCTTGGTGCCCCATCCCTGAAATTATCACTAGCTCCTTTAAGGTCAAGATTTGAGTTTTGCTTTGATACTAGCTTGAGAGGTTCAGAATCTCTTGCTTAGAGAATTGTAGGTGGTATGTTGTTTGCCTGATTAAATGGTACCTTGCATAGATTCCTCCCCAAAATAAAAGATACTTAAGTATCTACTATGAAATAGAGAAATATGTCTTTGGTAGGTAAGAGTGGGAGAGATGTTCACTAGGAATAGCTTCTCCTGAAACACCTGGTCAGTAGCTAGAATCCGCTACCCAATTCATCAACATTGTCACACACTTAGGTTTTATTTAGTTCAGAATTAGCACTGCTCCATTTCATCTGAAATTTCACCCTAAATTTTTTAGAATCTTTTAACTTCCCACCTTGAACTTCTCCAGAGCCTTGAATTTAGTTTTGGACCAGTTCGGTGTGGAGTGAAGACATGAGCCCGCTGGTTTCTTCTCTGGGGGACTGCTCTAGGTCCATATATGACACACGTCCTACATCTCCCCACTTAGCATTCCCTTGGCAACAAGAGTTGTAGAGCTTCTAAAAAGGGGAACAAGTAAGCATGGAGCAATGAATGCATAAATCACAAAACAATCCCACACCAGTTTGAAATTATGATTAATAAAAGGAAAAAACTTACAGATTACCGTCCTAGACAACAGCCCTCTGCATGACCAGGAAAGGAGTCTAGTAGCTCGAAGTGGAGCCCGAAGCAAGAAAGAGAGAGCACATGGCTACCACTGCTTTTTTAAAAGAGACGAAGCCCAAAGTGGGCTGGTATCTTAAAGGCTGTTGGCTAAAGGAGTGGAAGGAGCTCCTGCAACAGAGCAGTCTAGTAGTAGGATGGAGTGAGGGACTTTGAACTGAGTCATGAATGAAGTGATGAGGCCTGATATGTACCTGTGGAAGAGAATGCTTCAACCAAGGCTCTTTGTGTACACTGGGGACACATGACATTATCCAGAGGCGGTTTTGGTTGCCACTGCCTTGGGGAGATGGAGAGTATTATGAGCATTAGAAAATAGAGGCCAGCCTGCTTTATAAGAGCTAGTTCCTGGACAGCTTGAACTGTTACACAGAGAAACCTTGTCTCAAAAGCACAAACAAAAAGAGTAGAATTTAGAGAAAGAAAGGAGTGAAGTATTGCTACAGTTTCTCTGTCTGAATAACTGAAATGGAGATTGGTATTTGCTGAGATGAGGTGGATAGTCTGAAAGCCTGAGGGGTTTTGTTTCTGGTTATTTATTTGTTCACTAATATGTTAGGTTTGAGCTACCAATCTGGTATTTATATATAGATACTGAGTTATGCAGGAATGTGTGTGTGTGTGTATGCAAATATGGAACTTAAGGGAGAGGTACATCCTGTCAATTTTAATTTAAGGGTCCTCAGCAAGTGGATGGCTGGTAAGTCAAGAGTTAGGATAAGGTCCATGATCCAGTATGAGTAGACTCCCAAGATTGGCAGCCTCCATGGCATAATGTCAAAAAAGTAGCAGGGAGGAACAGGGAAATTTGGATTATGCGATGCTTCTCTCAGGGGACACAAAGCACATGGTGGAGTCTAGAAGGATAAGCTGGGCCGAGGAAGGTGATGGGCATTGTGGTTTGTGTCAGTTACTTTTCTGTTGCTGTGATAGAAACATGATCAGGACAGCTTGCAGAGGAAAAAAAAACTTACTTTGACTTATAGTTCAGAGCGATAAGAGTCCATCATAATGGGGACATATGACAGTACAGGGCAGCCATGGCAGCAGGAAACTGGGATCTCACACCTTCCATGGCAAGCATGAAGAAGACAGAGCAAATGAGAAATGGTAGGAAGTTTTTAATCTTAAATCCTGGTCTCAGTGATTTACTTCCTCTAGTAAAGTTATACTACCTAAACCTTCTAAAACAGTGCCACTAGCTGGGGACCAAATGTTTAAATACCTAAGACTATGGAGGAACATTTCTCATTAAAACCATCCCATAAATGGAGTGGGAAGAACTGTTACAGCTGTGTGTAGGTGGGAGTGGTCTGCATCCCTGAGAAGATGATGGGGAGTCTGGGGGTTCTCTCTGGTGTAGAGATGCTCTGCTCAGTCTTGGAGCTGTTGTCTTGACAGCATGCTCAATACAATTTGATGACCAGAGAGAAGAACTGGCAATTAAAGAGACTTCTAGCTATTAAAGTGCAGGATTTGAAGACGGAAAAAAGATTATATTATGGAGGATGATTGTAAAGTCTTTGCTAAGGGAGATGGGCCTTGAGATTGACTTTGAAAAGGTTATATATATCAAGCTAAGAGTTTAATTCATTTTGTGTTGAACATTTTATATGCTCCAAGTTCACTTTGCCTACTGCCTGCCAGGTTTTCCACATGAAATTTAAAGTCCATTTTTCTTTCTGCTTTTTTATTATAAGAAATAAAATATGACTTATTTCAAATATCTAAAAAACAGCTAATATGAAGTTGTCTTTCCCTAAAGTAACCTTTTTCCTTCTCTGTTTTCTCCTAATTTCAGGAGCAGACTCTAGCCCTCAGGAAAGAGGGGATTGGTGTGGTTCTGGACTCCGAGCTGCCTCACTTGATTGGCATTGATGATGACCTTCTGAGTACTGGGATCATCTTGTATCACTTGAAGGTAGAAACTGCTTAAGTGGAACATTCTAATTTTGTTTCCAGATTTCCCTTTAGACTCTAGCAAGGTTTATTATAATACTTTATGGCCATGAATACAACTATTAAATTAAAGAATATACAACAAATCCTTGAGCCTTTGGGGATTTTCTACAGTTCGTTGGGATTCAGTGGTATTTGAAGTTCCTATGTTTATGGAGTTCTGAAGTTAAATGATGAGTCATCCGTTTTGGCTTCTCTTCTGGAATCAGGGAAAAAAGTAGATGGAGGGAGGAATAAGGTAGAAAAAACTGAGGAAGGAGTAAGGATACAGATCTAGGATTTGTTTTGTGCACAGTTGCTTGTTCCTCCTGGTAATTATAGATGGTCAAGCTTGGTTCTGAGCAGTTCCCACTGTTCTAGAGAGCAGAGTTCCTTGTGAGTTCTCAAGGAGTGCCTCTGTGACCTTGATTTTAATATATTCTCTGTCATCTTTGACTCAAAATGAGGTTGTTCTCTCTTGAGTTTTGTGGCCTCTCCTATCATGTGTCTTTGGACACAAAGCAACCCTTGTCCACTGACAGAGGAACTTTGTAGAAAGGATCTGAAACATCCTTAAAATTGAGGCTAAGCCTTGGCCTTCTTGAGCAGTTGGCCTCTGCAGTGGTGCTGGTACTTAGCAGATCACACAGGGTGTCACTGCAGTGTTCGGTCCACTGAGCTCACTGAGGCCCTTGCATGCCCCAGACCCTTCTCCGTCTGTCGCCTGGCAGGTGAAATGCATCAAGATGGAATGAGAAGTGGAGAAGCAGGCTGTTGCTCTGCATTCACTCATGAATATTATTGAATTTTCTTCTCAGGAAGGGCAGACTTACGTTGGCCGAGAAGATGCTTCAACAGAGCAAGATATTGGTGAGACTCTATCAATGATCTGTCAGTGGTTTTAAAGAAACATATTTAATAAACAACCTTCATTTTCTTAATTGACATTGAAGTAGTTGTAAGAGAAAATGTTGAAGCATATTGCTTGGTATATGTATACCTACAATTTTGACCACAGCTCAATTAAATAACAAGCACAGTTAATTCAGTGAACACACTAGCAGTATGACTTCTTTCTGCCACCCCATGTGCATTCTCTATCCTACTAGTATAGTTATTTAAGCCACAGTACACCTGCCACTCTGTACTTGTCACGTGATTTATGAAAATAAGCCAGCAGACATGGATAAAGGCTCCCAGGCCTCTTAAAAGGCAGGATATAGACAGTTCTCTACAGAGATGATGGCCAAATATGAGACCAGGCCCACATCAGAAAGCATGACTTTCTGGTGTCCTATAGTCTTCATAAGGCATACAGACAGCCAGCTTTTCTACCTGGGAAGATGACAGCCTGCACAGTGTTCTGAGAATCCCTTTGGCACTCTATAGTGGAGAATGTGGTAGTAGTCAGTGTGTATGTGTAGAGGGGCACAATGGTGATTGGGGGGAAATTACATCCATTTCCAGACACATTTAGAGTTGCTGGTAAGGAACTTGTTTTTCTATCAAGTAGATGCTAATGGGCCACTTGTTACATGTTTCTCTATACACTCAGTATTTACTAGAAGTGGGAGAGCTGGAAAACCACTCCACAAGCCCCAGACTCAAGAACTGTTGAGTCTGCTTTTACATCAGATCCCTTGTTTGAATCATGCATTTGGTCTTGGGATCAGCCATAAACGATGACAGTTAATAAGGACAGTGTTCTCTGAGCGGAGACATTCAGTGGTGCAGTTCTGCAGAGAAAGTGGGAGCTACTCCTGAGACATTGAGAGGTGCTCGTATCTGCCATTGCCAGGATGTCCATAGATAACCAGATAACTGTCAGCAACTGGCTGCTCTCAGAGGTCTCAGAATCAGCACAGGCTGTGGCACTGGGCATCTCAGAGAAGCCTCTGGAAGACCTAAGACCTCCTGAGGTCCATGCTGTGTCATGCCTCTCTCTACTCTGTACTTTTGGGAGGCATTGCCTGAAAGTTCAGAGGTGCTCATGGCTCGTAGACCCACAGAGGCTTTCGTTCTTATGTATCCCTGTGGCTGGAGGGAGTTTGTCTACATTGAACAGAGATTCTCAGTTAAACAGCTACTCAATTTGTATTCTTGTTAGGAAGAATAAGCTGCCATGCCAGAGCTCACTGTCACAGGGTGGGGGGTGGCCAGACTCTCTGAGGCGATCATCGTGGATGCCTCTGTCTCTGCCCCTTGACATTGCAGACTCACTCAATGTAATTGTCCACAGTGCTTTTGTGGAAAGTAACAGGTGTTCAAAATGGAAAAGAGATAAATAATTGGGAGTCATTATAGCAGACACCCGAGTGGGGACCAACTTTCTTCTTTGTTTTTCTCTCCTAGTCCTTCATGGTCTTGACTTGGAGAGTGAGCACTGTGTCTTTGAGAATGTTGGGGGAACGGTGACTCTGATACCCCTGAGCGGGTCCCAGTGCTCCGTGAATGGTGTTCAGATTGTGGATGCTACACAGCTAAATCAAGGTATCTGGTTTTGCTTTTCAGAGTTCTCTGTATCTGTTGAGAAAGCAAGCTTGCCTTGGGGGAGCATATGCATCTTGCTGATTAAGGGACACAGAGGTTAAAGACTATTTAAGACTATTTGCCTCCTTGTGTTTTCTCCTTGTCTTGCTGGGGGGCTGCTTCATAACACCCACTTTCTTGTTAAATTAAACATGGCATATTTATGAATATTTGTGGTTGTGAGAATTAGCTATTAGATGACTTTAAGTGAAAAAGTACCTATTACAAGAAAATTTAATAACAATGATTTCCTTTAAGACTTTTTCTTTCAGTGTTTATGTCCTTCTTATGAGTGGTTACAATTATATACACAGGATGGGTATGATGTCTTTTCTGTTGGAAACAACTTCAGTATTCTAAAAAAAAGAATAGATGCAGAACTTTCAAATCACAGAGCCATGTGAAAGTAGCCAGTATATGTTAATTAGTCTGCTCTTTTTCTCTGTAGCTAAATTGATAAGATTATAAAGACAAAAGGTCGTTCCAGTCAGTGTTAGTCCTTTGGATTTGAGCCTGTGGTGAATTAAATCTCATGACCTGAAAACAGAGAGGAGGGAGGCACACCATACCTCTCTGAAGACCTTCAAGGAGACTCCTCATCCTAAAGGTTCCAACTGTTCCAAGCTGTGGGGATTACATGTCCTCTAGGGGAAGGATGGGGTTCCGCTTATGACGGATTCCAGTCTTTGAGTACCTTTGCGTATATTTCCTCCACCAGTGAGATCCTCCATACATCTCCAGTGCAGCCATACAGCTAGGAAACTAATGGTAATCCTCAGATTTGGTTCATTTAGGTTTGGCCGTCTGCTTCTCGTGGATCCAGCTTTGTGCATGGTCGTGTTGGCCACATCTCTAGTTTCTTCATTCCAGAGCAGGTCCTTGGTCTTTCTTGGACTTTATGACATTGAACAGAGTGTGTCAGAGGCATTGTAGGCATTCCCTCTGTAGGATTTCTCTGGTGCCGTTCGTAGTTAGATTTTTGTTTGTTTGCAGGAAGTGCTGGGCCAGACTTGTACAGACTAGGCAAGGGCTGTGACACTGAGTGACTTACATCTCCAATATAATGCATTTCTGACAATGCTGCATTTTCCTCCTCTCCCATCATCCACTGCTGATGGCACTCCCTTTGGGTCCTTGGTAAACATGCAGCTGGCTAAGCTTTTTCCCTGTGTAGTTTCTTCCTTTGACTTTGGCTTTAGATAATGCTTTGGGAAGGCACTTTGGTTATCAGTATTCTTTCCCTTGTCACATGTTGACTTACTGTTTCAGAAACTGTCTTTAAAATTTTGCTGAATTATTATTATTCTGTTGGTTGCTAAAAAGATTTTCTTATCATTTCTTCTGCATTTGTCAATTGAATTTTTAGTAGCAGGGTTGCATAGTTAGTCACTGTATTTAGTATTTCCTCTGCTTTCCCTTTATTTATTTCCAATGTTCAAATTGTCTCAGATTTGGCCAGTGTGGGTTTCTTCAAGGTGGCGTCTGCGTGTTTTGGCTTGACCTCATTGATTTGTGAGCTCTCGCATACCTTCTGAGGCAAGATATTCTAGATTCACCTTGTCCATTCCTAGAACTTTTCAATTCTTTAAAGGGTGCTCTCCAGTGTGGGCTCTGTGTAGACCTTCTTTAACATTTAACCTTGAGTGGTTTTTTTCTCCTGTACTCCCCAGGAAGGAAGCAGGATCACGAGTTTGCTGAGTTTGCAGAAATTTTTCAGATAACTGTAACTATGTGTCTAATTCTCCTCTAGATTAAAGCTTGTTGATAAATGTCTACATGAAGTAACTTTATTTTACATTATACCTTATTTTATTTTGTTCTTCTACTCAACTAGGTAGCTCATTTTAAAATATGTCTACTTTGGGTAGTGATTCAGGTTAGGAAGCAAGCTTCTGACCTTTTAGTCTATCTCAGATGTGACTTTGGCTAAGAGTCATAGAACTAATTGACGTTGAAGGCTAATGGCAACACTTGTCTTTTCCTGTGGGATGCTCTTAATTCTTTTATTGTCGTGGTTCCGTGGTGATGTTCAGATCCAGTGGGCTTGAGTTCCTCCAGCATTATGCTGAGCTGCTGAACTGCTTCCACCATGTTTAAGATGAAAGAGCATTGTACAGAGTATAAATGCCACTAACAAGCCTCCGAGCTGGGGAATGCTAGATGGCATCAAATCAAGGCATTGCATGAGAGTAATGAGATGACAACTTTTTTTTCTTTTTTTAACTTAGACTTTCTTTCATTAATATATATCCTGTCCATCGTAAACTGAGGAATAAAATTATCTACTTTGGCTTGCTTAGTGTTTGTCGATTTTTAAAATGAAAACTGAAACATGTTTTTAAGTTGCAGAGTGATATGATAAACTGGAGGTTTTTGACTATATGTGGTGAAAATAAAAGCGGTAAATGGGACTGACCCATCCTCCTCCAGATCATCTTCCCTGCCAGCAAGGAAGGAGGCAACTTTAGCATTTATAGACAAGGATCATAGACTTCAATAAGCATTTAGTTTTTTAAAACCTATAGTAAAATATAAAAAAAAATGGACTTCATTAAAAATACAATAAATGAAGCAGGATTAAGTAAAACAGTATTTTTATACTTCAAACCCTTCTTGGCTTTTGCCCATGAAGCAGCTTTTTAAAGTCAGTTCTGTAGAGTACTTCTGCACAGTCCTGCTTAGGTGATTTTTGCAAAGTCAGATGTTTTGAATTAACTTTTGGCTGCCAAGCCTCTTGGAGCTGGATCTTGGGGTAGCTGGACAGCTACTGTATTAGTACAGAACACTGATAAAATGATAGCAGACTATTCATTATCTCTCACTATTATTATTCATACTTTTACCCTCTGAATCCTTGATTTGTATCTGTTGTTAAATCTTTTTGGCTTTCCAAGCCAGGCACAGGTTCTATTTATAGCCCCAAGGATCGTGAAGTCCGGGCCTCTTTGGTTTCCCACACCTGTTGTTCTAACTAACTCCAGTCTCTGGCTTACTGTAGTGGCTACTGGCCTGTCATCCTTTCTGGGTCCTCAGAATTGGCCTCTTCAGTAAACTGCTGGTTGGGTTCATGAAAGACACACAGAAGGAACAGTTTTGTAACAGTTCCCTGCTTTCCGAACAGCAGGAATATAGGATAGGAGCCCAAATGAATATCAACCCACATCATATCCACGTCTTACACATCACCTGAATACCAACCCACATCATATCCATGTCTTACACATCACCCGAATACCAACCCACCTCATATCCATGTCTTACACATCACCCGAATACCAACCCACTTCATATCCATGTCTTACACATCACCCGAATACCAACCCACATCATATCCATGTCTTACACATCACCCTTAGCTGACTACATCTCAGCTTCACCTTATGTCACTCACGGCACCCTCACCTTTCATCACCAGCTTCCACCTTCTTGCTGATATTCCATAGTCAGCTGCCTCTTCATTGGTAAATTACTTTCATTTGGAAATGTACTAGGCTGTGTCATTAAAAAAAAAAGCACAAGTAGTAATTACATCTTCCTTATCTAAATAAACCACTTAACACACTGTGAATTCCAAAAAATAGATTTGTCTAAATTTAGAAGGTTGCCATCATTAGGACAAGTTTTTTTTTAATGTTGTTCTTCATTTTTAACTTGTGTCAATGAACTGCCTTCTTTCAAATAGCATAGTCCCCCCTCCCCCCCACACACACACTAAAGAAAAGGAAAGGTTTTCATCCATTGGCATTGTCAGTAAAATGAAGAGTATTTGCTGGACTTGTAAGCATGAATGGGATGGAATATTCCTTGTGTATTGTCTAATATTTGACATTAGACACCTTTTCCTTCATCTTCAGGTCTAAATATACCCATCTCTTAGTGTGTGTCTAAAGCTCAGATCCCCTACCACTTGTGATTCTATTATAGCTCCATAAATGAATCCATAGAAAGAAGAAGGCAAATTCTTGACCACAATGTCTTATTTATATCCAGAGACCACAGCTCTTCTTGGGAGTCTAAGCTCTTAAGTTCTCCCAAACTTAACCACCATATATTTAAGAAAAAATGGCACAATAATCAAGTGTGTAGTAATTCAGCAAATACTTCAGCCTTCTCTTGGAATTTCCAGGAACTAGGCTTTCTTATTTGAATTGGTTTTTGATGTAATATATATTTTTAAAGCTAGTCACTGTTAAATGTAAATAATTTTTACATTCATATCAGTGGATACCTTTGGTCTTCTTGCTGGCCTGCCAGATTCATTGAACATTCACCTCTCATTTTAAAAGTGCTACAGAAACTGCATCTTGGAAATTCACAGTTAGGTACATTTGAATGTGATATGCTTGAGTGCCAAAACATATTTGCTTTTACTCAAATACCCTGAAAGAGGGAACAGGTGATTGTCTGCAGAGTGCAGCAGAGGAGCCTTTGATAAAATTTTCATCTGCTGGAAGGCTGCTGTGAGTTGCTCAGTGACAAATTAAAAAGAATTATAGTGGAACTGGAAAAGAAAATAGATCTTTGAGGGTTAAACCACGGTATCCAGCTAAGGCCAAGAATGTATATGCTTCAGAGAGCTGGGAGAGAAGAGCGTGTTCCTTGTGGGCTCCACTATACTGACCTGAGCACCCGTCAGATGCCTCCCTCAAGTTAGAGACCTGAAAACTGAGGTTTTTCTTTTTGAATTTTAAAACCTGAACTATTATTAAAAAGAGAATGGTTCTCCAAGTATGTCCCAGGTCAGTGACATCAGCACTACCCTGGAGCTTATTAGATATACAGATTCCTAAGCCCTATTCTGCAAAAGATCTAGATCTAAAATCCCCAGTGGGTTTTCATGTCCAGAAGTAATTCTGATGCATGCTTCTGCGTGAGAGCAGCTGACTAAAGCTAGTCACACTGAAGTCAGATTCTCGACACCCTTGACATGAGCAGAAAAATAACTATTTGCCTATCTCTAC